AGCGCTGGGTTCCAGACACGCGGAGGCAAATGAGTCAGTGACGATAAACCGCCTGTTGGAAATGAATATTAAACAGGACAAGCATACATAAGACGGTCGTAGGGCAAAGGAGTAAGATATGCCAAGCAACTCCTGCTGGTTGCATTGAACATGGAGACACTGAGATGACTGCTGCATGGGAGGACAAAGCACGAAAAGATCAGCCCAGTGTGCAAGTGCAAGTATATCAATGCAGCAGGTCTTTAGCAGAACGTCGCTCTCATGGCAGCCCACTAAGACAATTTCTAACCAAAATTAACAAAGATGTTGCGTTTACATTTGGTCATCCTTTGAAATACTTCTTTTGCTTAAGCAGTTCTATATTTGACTTCTTTAAAACATCTTCCGTTTGCTGTTCTCAGGGTAGCCAAGTATTGAAAATACTGGCTTGCTACGAAACAATCCAGTTAACTTTGATACTGTATTTTGAATTTTTTTCCCTCTGCAGTAGCCGTTAATCTTATTTATTCTTGATTTTCTTTTTTAAATTAAATCTATCATTTTTTGCAATTTAATTGTATTTTATAAAATTCGTTACCACCAGCATATCGCATATAGTTCTCAGTAAACTTGTCAACCGATATTCGTGATGCATATAGTACGAATCGTATTGTTTACTGCTGCCTTTACAAAAATATAACAGCTCGGTGTATTTTGAAAAGAGCTTGGACAAAATATTAACCTGGTGTCATCTACGATTCAATAAAAGAACAGAAATCAACGCTGAATATCGGAAAACCTGAAGACGTTGATGTTTATTTATTTATTTTTTTTTTCTAATATTAATCATGAAACACGGACATCATTGTAAGTAGAATGTATTTTCGCTTGAAACCACGCGGTCAAAGAAATATCAGACTTTCTTGAAACACATACAAACAGAGAGAGATGGAAATTAGAGGATATACTGTATAAGGTGATGACTACATAAGTAGAACTATAGGTGAGGAATGAAGATAAGATGACTTGAGGAGAGTTGGCTGAGGGACGATGCGCCACGTCGATTGGGAGTCTGTGGGGTGGCATAAAAGGTACAGAAGAAGACGAATGCAAGATGGCTGTCTTACCTGTACCAAGTATGTCACAGCAGAGATGCAGAACCAGGGTGCTGAAGATCCTTATTACCAAATGACTTGTTACATGTCTCAGTAATCCTCTTCTGCAGTTATTTCTTTCTTCTCTCCTCAAATCTCCATTCCAGCAGCCATAGTGGAGACAATTCCACTGCTGTTTCACTGGGGATAAAGGAAAATCTCCTGCCTTGGCTACAATGATAGGATAAAACACCGAAACCATTGAAAGATTGGTTTAAATCCAAGGTTCAAAGATGGCACATAATGGTATCACTGCAATTAATAAGAGGAGCGGCTGGCCGAATGGTTAAGAACCCTGGGCGTCTTGTGTGGGAGACATAGATTTGAGTCCTCTGTAAGCTTTAGACAGCGGGGCGGGGTCTGTGGAGGGGATACAGTCCTGATCTACACAGTCCGTGACGAGCGCTCTAGCCCTGCGATCCACAATCCTCAGGCTCAAATACCCCCCCCCCCCCCTACCTTCTCATTCACCCCACCCTTCTCTCGCCTTCACCGCAGAAGTGGTAACAAAGGGTAGCTATGCAATTTATGTTTTAACTGCTGATAGTTCATCTATTCGAAAACGTTTTTCCGTTGTGAATTAAAATATTCCATCTAGGGAGAATTAATCTAACTGTGCTAGCGTGAAGAGGGAAAAGAAAAACAAAAAGTAGGTAGATAATGCTAAAGAAATATGGCTAGAACAAAAAAGTAGTAGTTTCACGTTGAACAGCAAAAAAAAAAAAAAAAAGGAAAAGTACAGAAAAGATAAGGGTTCTGCTGTGCAGAGGCTGGGAAATATTTCACCACAGCCCTGGCGATGAATTTGTGAATTACACAACTATCAACTACAACAAAATATGACTAACACGCCTAGACGAGCCACTTAAATCTGGCAAATGGATTAGAACCATCATATTCAACATCTGTTTATTTTACGGAACACAAAACTAACGTTGCTTCACAAATAACAATATATTACCAGCCAACATCGTGTAGTCAAGCACTTCAACGTTCAAAATAAATATTCTCTTCTAGCGACATAAATTCAAAAATATCCGAGCAGTGATAGATACTGATATCTAGCTCTACACAGTTTAAGTACTAAAGACACAGTCGCCCGAGCACATTCTGCTGAGCACATATACTGTGCTGCAGCCGCAAGTGGGATCTCCTGCCTCTGGACGACTGTGAAGTCATAAAGCGAAATTGGTCGTTTTCCGGGTGCCTCAGTATTTTTTTTTTAAATTGACATTGGTACTCCCTGGGCTGCCAGATTTTCGTTCACTTGCATTCTAATCAAACCAAATTTATAAAGGCTTTTGGTGTCCTGCCACATTATGATTCCGGCAGTGAAAGCCTACAAAATGAAAATGGAAAATTCAAGAAGCAGAAAGAGACTGGACCCAGCTTCGTGTAAATTGCATTGTTCCATATTACGACCCTCAAATAAAATCAAAATGTATTCCAACTGCTAACTTCTCCGAGTGGATTCCGGGGATCCCATTTAAGGGGGAAAAAAAAAACCACAGCACCCTAAAAAGCATGTCGTACAAGACGACTAATTGGGAGTGTTTCCTATGAAGTTGGCGTGCATTTTGCTTGAGGTTCGACGAATCAACAATATACATACAAATAAGCCATATCTGTTAAGCGGATATGCACGCAAAACTCAAAGTTGTGGAATAGGACCAAAAGTCCAGCGGCGGACGAACAATAGGAACTTTCCACGGAGTTTACTGTCAGAGAACGCAAAAACAAAACGATTAATAACTGGTAACTACATGTAACAATGTATTTTTTTTTTTCACTGCGTATATTTCATCAGTTTAAAGCGAGGATAAATATCAATCAAAAAGTGGCAAAAATACTAAATTGGAAACTGTAGTGCGAAAAAAATCACTGAACTGTATATGAAAGTCGAAGAAGTCGAATGTGAAAGCATGATTATTCGAAATAGAATTTATTCTGTTTGATTTAAATAGAAAACGATTTAAATTGTTACGTTGATCACCAAACCTTACAATGGCTGGCGGCGAAGAACGAGGCGTACCCAATCGTAGAAGCTGCAGCTGCAAGTGGCAAGTTGAATCGCGAGTTGAGTCAAAAGTCTTTCATTTAATGACCTGAGTCGCAATCAACGGAGCCGAACTTTTTTTTTTTCTTCAAAAAATGACCTTAACTCCTACCCAGGTCGACTCTGGTCGACCCAGCCTTGAGTGGATATCAGGTGCAGTCCTGGGAAGTTAAGGCAACAGGCGTGATGCTGACCACATCACCCACCAAGTGCTGATTGGTCTATAAAAAAAATATAGGTCTAGCCTTATATTTCCAAAACGGATAAAGGCGGGAAAAGGGGACCTTTACTTTTATAGAATAGCTACAGAAAACATAAATTACTATGTGCTTAATGCACTGTCTCCGAAAGGTCACTAACAAGAAAGGGACAGCATTACGAAAACCAGCATTAAAGACAAAGATGAAATAAGACTTCCTGGGGACGACTAAAACAGACGGATAAATGATGCTACTGAAACTTCAGCTTCTTCTTCTTCTGCCTTTCTATCCCCCAATGGAGCATAAGCCTCAACCAACTCACGCCAAGTCGTTCTATCCTTCGCTATTGCATGGAGCTCTCCCCATGTCCTCCCCATCTTTCTAACTTTATTCTCCAGCTCTCTTCTCCGTGTGTTTTGGCCTTCCTTTATTCCTATGCCCCTGTGGGTTCCAATGCAAAGACATTCTAGTTATGCTGTTATCTTGTTTTCTCAGTGTGTGTCCTATCCAACGCCAGCGTCTTTTCCTCACCTCTCGGTCCACTGGAGCCTGTTTAGTTCTCTCCCAAAGCTCTTCATTAGTTATTCTATCATACCATTTAATTCCCTCTATTCTGTACAGGCACCAGTTAATGAATGTCTGTAATTTATTACTAATTGTCTTAGTCGCTCTCAATGTTTCCGCCCCATACAACAGTACTTATTTGACATTGGAATTAAAAAACATTTAGTTTAGTATTTCTTTTAATTTCTTTTGACCTCCAAAAATTCCATAGTGCCATGAAAGCCCCTCTTGCCTTTTGTATTCTTATTTTAATATCTCTAACAGTTCCTCTATCTTCATCTACATTACTGCCCAAATAGGTGTACGACTCCACGTCTTGGAGTGGGGAGCCATTAAGAGAAACCACATTACTATTTGCCTGATTTATTCTCATTGACATTATCTTTGTCTTTCCTTCATGGATTTTCAGACCAAGCTGTTGTGATTTCGCATCAAGTATATTTAATTTATCTTGCATCTGATTCCGTGAATGGGACAGAAGAGCAATATCATCAGCGAAGTCCAGATCATCAAGCTGTTTTGTAGGTGTCCACTGAATTCCATTCTTGGTATTAGCAGTTACTGTTTTCATAATGCAGTCTGAAGCCATTAAAAATTAGAGAGGCGACAAAAGACATTCCTGTCGCACACCTGTTTTTATTTGCTGAAACTAGCAAAAAAAAAAAAAAATCCATCATCCAAACTACTTAAGAAGCGCTGGACAGATACAGAAAACAACAACACTGGGCTACAACTTCTGGTATCAAACAACAAAAGTAGAAAGACGATTAGACCACCCCTTCACCCATATTTATATTAAATAACGCTTGCAAGCAAATCAAATTACCATTAAATTAATACTCCCGCCCTTCCTCAGTCAACTACAATAACATGTCCCTAATTTGAACTTTGACTCTCGAACTTTAACCGATATGTTTGGAAACACGGTTTAGTGACGTAGTACACATAAAATTTTGGCAGAACAGAGCGACTTGCTGAAAATTTGGCGAAAGTTTTACTAATTTCTTCTTTGTTGTCTAACATAGCGATTCCTCGAGAGAATTTAACATGTCCTCTGCTGAAGACGCAGGTTCGGGTGATCTAAAGGCCGGGCACCCGCCGGCAGGTAACGGTTCAATGTGTTAATTGATGTTTTTTTTTTTTTAAGAGAGAGACACGTTGCAGGAAAAACAAAACGGCCATATTCTTGTAGTTTGAGTACATGATGAATGGCATCCATCTCAGCCATCTAGGATCCAGTAAGGCCATAGAAGTAATAAAACTGTTAATTGTCAGTGGGTGTGTTCTGATTATATATATTGTCCCATAAAACCTTGCGTCTTTGGGATCACCAATTTACTGTAGATTTATTGATCCGGCCTTTCGTTTCTGTACATCAGTTGTGCTGGATTTGATGTTTTCTCAATTGCCCAGTCAGCACAATTTTAGATTCCTTATCCTGGCCATTCTAGTCTCCTTATCTCCTGTACCCAACCCTCTAATGTGATTTTGGAAAAGCCGACCGATTGTATTATAAGTCGGAGTAGTGTGTCTCTGACAGTTTCAAATCCGGGAAGCCCAATCCTTTTCAGTCAGCCATTACCTGTACTGGCTTTACCATGTTAGCTTATGACCTCCTCTTAGTTTACTGACCTGCATCACAAGAAGATGGGGGTTGGCTTGGAACAACAAGCTACGAATTACAGATATTGATTAATCATTTTGTGAAACCATGACCCTGAGGGTGACAGGCAAAAGATAGGCTCTCCTTCGAACGGCATCATAAAATGGCGGCTATAATATGATGCCACATTCTGGCCATAAAATACGGTCGGCGATGAGGCACACTCGCAGAAGCAGGTCAGCAAGTAACATATCGCTGAAACCCTGTTGAAGCATTTGTTTTGTTATACGGAGCCGGCATATTTTTAATAGAACTGAGCCCCATTCGGATATTTTTGGATATTTTATGGCCAGAATGTGGCCAATTTAGCTCTCCTTCGAACGGCATCTTATAATGGCCGCCATTTGATGATGCGGTTCGAAGGAGAGCCGAAAGGTAAACTACACAAAATAAAATCTATGTAGATATTATACTTCACACCAGAATAAAGTGATAATCTGGCTGGAGGTACTCTTTTCATGAATGGGTAATGAAATTGTGTTCTAATAACTTGCTTGGTGTATTGCTTTGAAAGGAACGAATTGAACCAGCAAACACTTTTTTACTACCCTCTATCCCCCACTGGAGCATAGGCCCTCAACCAACTCACACCGCATCATTTTATCCTTCACTTTTTCGTGCAGCTCAACTAATGTCTTCCCCATCCTTTTAAATTCACTGTTTAGCTCCTTTCTCTCTGTGTTTTTGTTTTTTTTCTGCTTTTATTTATATACCCCTATAGGTTCCAGTTCAAAGGCATTCTAGTTGTATTGTTCTCAGTAGCAAACACTAACAGAGGTCAGATAATTTTCTTAGTGGATTTTATTTTTAAATCTCCAGATGTCAAGAAACAAAGCTTAATGGTTATTGCATTGAGGAGACCCCCTTCCCCAATTTTCTTAGGAGGTGACTAATTATGGATGTTTCCTTCATGTCAGTGCATCTGCCTAAGAGGCAATGAACCAACAATATGCGCACATTTAAGTCATATCTGTAAAATGGATATGCACGCAGAACTCAAGTTCTGGGACAAGACCAAAGTCCAGGAGTGGACAAACAGCCAGAACTTTTCACTGGAGTTGACAGCCGATGAACACTAAGAAGAAGAAGACTCCTGTGATTATAGATTCTCTAAGAAAATCAAGGAAAACCAATACCAAACTACCCACCATATCACACACAAGACCAGTAAGGTGGATTGGCAGGGAGCTGTGAAATAGACAACTCTTAGCTGCTAAAACATCCAGTTATGAACTAGTTTCAGTCAGAATTATCAGGTAATTGAGCTCCTGTTTCTTTGTGGGAAAAATAATAAAGGACAGAAGAAAAAAGCGGAGAAATGGTCCTTACCCACATAGAACTGCAGGTTACACATGTCTGTTGTAGCCCTAACGTCTTTGGAGTTTAAACAGCGTATCTGGGATCTGCCTTGTTGGTCTGCCATCCAGATTGAGATTGTTTAAATCTCAGGATGGTATGTTAAACCTTTAAGTGGCAGCCTCGGGGATCAACTGATCGATCGATCAAGCTCAGAAATTTGGGATTGCAAGTTCCTTACTAGAACTTCACACGCACACTCACAGACAGTTATGACAGTCCTTGAAACATTAGCTAGACTGGGAAATCAGCACTTCATTTCCCGTGATCTTGTCCTGTATAAGTGTGTGTTCATGCACCCTTATATTTCCAGTGGCACACAAAAATAAATGTGTTGTGTAAGACAGATAAAGATGGATTTGCAGTTAGAGTGAGTGAAGTCAATAAATACATTTGCTGGAGTTACATTCCTGCTTTGAATTCTTCTCGATCTTGCTCTTCTGCATTTACCCATTCTTCAAAATGTCTGTACAACTGCTTCTGTCATCAGTTAAAAGAGAATGACAAGCTATATATATATATATATATATATATATATATATATATATATATATATATATATATATATATATATATATATATATATATATATATATATATATATATATATATGTGTGTGTGTGTGTATATATATGTATATGGCACAGCTGAAATGAAAGCACACAAAAAAACACCGGGAAGCAAAAATGTCCAGAGAAACTCTACAAAGATTGCTGAGAAATGTACCAGACAATACTGTATAATAAATAAGTACAAAGTATAGATCAGAATGGGCGAACTACCGCCGAGCCCTATGTCACTTACGGCAGCACAGCATGACGACATTACTGTTTATATTTTTGTATTTTCAGTCAAAGTTGGCGGCATGAGAGTGGTAAAGCATAAGAAGGAAAGTGAGAAGTCAGAACCTGCGACCATGACCCCTGAGGAGGAAGCTGAGTATGGGTCAAGGTTAGTACTCTGAAATGCTGTAAAACTGCAATGGAAACCTAGGATTCTTTTTAAATTTCTTTTTTGGTGTTTGGTGATTTGGGTCGAAACATTTGATTGTTTCTGTGTGTTTCTTTCCTTCCCCCGCTCTTTGAGCTTCCCAGTCATGGGTCATTGAATCTACTGTAAAATTAGGTCATTTTTTTTTTTTTTTTTGTATGGGTGCTTGCAATGGCTTTGCAAGGTCAGATGGTAATCAGTATAGAAAATTTCCTGTTTATGGTAAATCAGTATAGAAAATTTCCTGTTTACCCCCCCCCCCCCCCCCCCCCCCTCCTTTTTTTTTTACACACTCACACACATTTGTTAATGTTAACAGTTAACAACAAATGTTGCCGTTTTGTTATCTCCCTCAGTGATGACACCCTATGTGGCCAGCACCTCTTCCTACGCTACTGGGTGCTTGAACACCTCAGTTTATTAATTGTATCCACAACTTCATGATCACACTGGATTACTCAGCTGCAGTGGCAGTAACTTTCACTTAGGAAATGTCCTGTATTACTAGAAATATTGTGCTGATCACACCTTTTGATTGTACGAGAATTTAGATCAGTGTTTCCCAGTGTGGGGCCACGCCCCAGTCTGGGGGCAAATTTGATTGGTTAAAAAAGAAAAGAGAGAGATTGGGGTGGGGTGGAGGGGTGTTTGATTGTTAAAAGGGGGGGGGGGCAGGTCAGAAATGAAAAATGGATACTAAAAATTAATTATATTTCACATAGGGGACATGAGAATTTTAGAAATTCCTAATATTAATAACATTGTATTTCAAAATAGTGGATTTATTTTTTCCTTCAAATAGCCATTGATCAGCCCTCATTAACTTTAGCTTTTAAAGTAAATATCTTGAAAGACTACATGGATATTTCTGTATGCTTCTGTGTATGGATTTTAGTTGTAATTGCTTGAACTTGCCATGCACATCTCTGGAGCTATCTGTTTTAAGAAGTTATTTACTGACTTGTATGATTTTCTCCCACCCTCATTTGGAAGACTAAAAGTTACTTTGTAACCGTTTGATGGTGCCCTAGTGTAACCGTGCTGTATGGCTATACAGTTGAATGGTTTCTGTCATAGGCTATTTACAGTGGTTCAAAAGATTACTCAGCATTTAATATGGATTGTCACACGTCTGTTATAGGTTATTTACAATGATTCAAAAGATTACTCAGCATTTAATATGGATTGTCACTCGTGATACAGTTATCTCGCTTGGAATTAAATCTTACTGGTCAAAAAGTACAGACCAAAGTGTGCTTGTCAGTGTAAACAAACTTGGCAGAAATGCGCAGACAACATTTTAAGTGAAAATGGGACTTTATAAATTCACAGCATATGTACACTGCAGTGGTGTCATTCTACCACATGTGGTTGTGGGGCACCAGTTCCAGAGCCAGTCTTACAAGATTGCCCATACTTTGACATTCAAAGTAAAGAAATCTGGCCCATTGGAGTGTACTGCTATGGATCACAGGTGAAGACCTTAAGCCCACTGCCCTCTTTGAGATCCATGCTGGATTAGCAGTGAAGAAGAATCACTGAAGAAGAAGAGTCTTACCAAAATAAAATTTCTCAACCCCCTTCCAACACCCTCATGCAAATAAAACACCTAAAATCTGAGCAAAAACATTATCACCTTGACCTAATCAAGTAATCACAGTTCCAGCTTCATAGCAGACAGGTTATCCCTTCTATGCCAAATGGAAACCACAAAGAATGCCTATCACTGTCTCTTGTGGGGAAGAAAATGGACACAGACTGCAGTCTGTGCACAGCCAATAGCAAACACAGGCATTAAATGCATTAAGTAGCTGTTAGAAGTACCAACACAAACAGTCTGGCATTAGAAATGCATTTTGTCATCGATGGAAGCAGAAACAGATCAGTAGTTGCTCATACAATTAATAGCTTAAAGCACCACCAGTTTTCAGGCAGTAGGCCACTCGCCATTTTCTGAATCCCAGTTCATGACCCAAACTACATTAAGCACAGTTAAAAAAGCATTACAAATGAAATCTGCAGCTCACAGTGTTGTGCCATGTACTAAACTCAGAAGCTAGGAAACTGAGCTACACCTAGACCTAATTCCTCTGCTCTACTGAATTATGACATGGTTATTTCCTAGCATATCTCTTTAAAGAAGTGGAGTTCCACTATCAGTCTTGTGCAGGCCTGCTGGTTTCCGCACTTGGAGCGGGGAAAGGAGAACTCTGCAACACTGTGGAGATAGTACTTTGGTAGTATGTAGTACTTTACTTTGATGTAGTAAATTCCCTATGCAGCCCCAGCCTGTAATTGCAAGACCATGTCAGGGCTTATGTAACCAGAACACCAGTGACTGAAACAGTATTCCTTCCTCATCTTCAGCAGCTAGTGCACCGATGCATCAGACTTCAGAAAAATTAAAAAAAAAACATATTAACCAACAGTTCTCAGCCAGTCAGCAAAAAAATAAACTCCACTCACTCCTTAGTTTAATAAACAAAGGATGGAAGCATCTGTTCGATATCTGTCTATAGTTACTGAAATGGGATCTGTAGTCGCTAATATCAACCGTTACATTGTGAAAATAAGGCAAACAATGAACACAAGATTCATTGTGACAATGTAAAATACTTGCACACTGTTAATATAATGATTACAACATTTTTATTTGAAAATTGCTTGTTCGATGTTGTCCACAACTCCGTGCATGATTTTCAAACTAAAAATTACTGAATCAGCTGTTGCACATGTTTTTTCTTCTGATATGCCTTAAATGGGAATCAGTACAACTGAGATATGAGTGTGTCTGTTCATTTTTTAAACTCCTGAATCATTTCTTGTATCTCTCCAGCCCTCCAAAAGCAGACAAGCATCATCAGTCTGTGGTTGTGTCTGGAGCTGTTACTAAGGTAATCAAGTGTTGCCTTTGATTGGTTCTTTTTGTGTGGTTGTTTCAAACTTTGGGTCTTTTGTCTTCTTCTTTTTCTTGTTCTTCTTCTGCGTTCATCCGAAGATGTAACTGCATTGTGTCTGTTTACAGCATCCAGTGCTGCGATATTTACACCTTTCGGCCAACACATCCGAGAAGGGTCTTCTATCTGATTTTATTAGTGAATTTTTTTTCAGGAAAAAGGGTCCTTTATAGGAGTTTGAGTTCTTTGCTGTTAACTTTTGCACTAATACCTAATTTTGCCACTTGTTTATGTTGACTATTGTTTACTCGCAGACTTTTAAAGATGGGATGCCAGTACTTGAAGCTGATTTTCCTCAGAATTCATGATGGGTGATTGATATTTTTGCACAAAAATAACTGCACGTTTTGATCAGCGTAGCACGGAACAGGAAATGTAAAATAGGAGCAGATAATGCTGGAAAGAGTTATGATGGAAAAACTTGTTGAAGAATTCTTTTGAATCGGTGCACGTCTCTTCCTTTCCCTCCATTAAGCTTTCAAAGTCTGTTTTATATTTATTTACTTCTTGATCTCAGTTGGATTAATTATTAAAAAAAAAAAAAATTCAGATAGTATCTTAACACTTAGCTGCTTCGGCTCTTTGTCCTTTTAATCAGATATAAATTATATTATTATCACAGGGAGACAAAGATTTTACTACGCAGGCGGTTAAAAGCTTCCACGAAAAACCAGCTCCTACGCATGATGTAAAGCCACGCCCACCCCAGCAGAGCCAGCACATCCACCAGCCCAGGTAAACAAGGTGCCTCTCCGTGGCACTGGATCAGATACGGCTTCCCTCAAAAACGGACTTCGGCACCAGAGCACTTATTCAAGTGGTTTGACGGATTTGTGGCTTAACAACAGAATTGTGAGAGATTCTTAGAAAAGTTATGTTTTGTGCACGTTTACAAGCCAGGAAGTTGGGCAATTTCCTGCTTGTACTGTTTTTTTATTGTTTGTTTCTTGTTTGAATCAGTTTTATGTGGTATTCTTTAAGAACAGAGTGTTTGAGATAGTCAGCTGTGGATATTGTTTTGAAAAAATAAAGATGGATGAGTCACACACACGCACACACAGGAAGGCAGGGGAGTCATGCATGTGAAGATAATCTTGAAGGCAGAAGAAAGGGAAAGATTAACATACATATATGAATATAGGTAAATAGAAAATAAAACATAAATGTGCGACTGTAGATAAATTTATGTGCCATTAAGCAAAAACTGTCATGGTTCTCTATCTCATAGGATCACCAGTCTAGAAGCAGGTATGTGTTCTTGTTAAAGTCAAGGGCATCAACTTTATTGCCCTGGGTTGTCCCATATGGCTTGCTCTCTCTACTCATAGCAGGTTAAAGAAAGAATATTCTTATGTCTTAACCAAAGATTTTCTTATTCTTCTTCTCTTCCACTGGTTACCTTAGGAGTGTTGGAGAGGGGTACAGGTCTTTCTGATTCACTGAATAAAATGAGTTTGTTTTCTCTAAGGCTGTTTTTGGCTATCATGTGATCTTTTGTGTGGTCTTTTCTTGCTCTGTACTTATAAATTCCTTCAGCTGTCTCTGGTTGTTGGTACCAAGACATTCTCTTTTGATGGCCAGACCATTTCTTCCTCTGTTCTTCAATCAATTGTATGACTAGTCCTAGCCTTCTAGTCTCTTCAGTTTATTTTTTTTTTAAATTATATTTTTGTAAGTGTTTTTGTTTCTGTGTAGCACTGTTATGATTCCCACTCATTAGTTATAACAAGGGTCCATGTTTGACACTGGAAGCATAATGACTACCAAACAGTAGCTTTTATGAGATTGTTTAAAGAGGATACAAATGTGAAAATATTTGAACAGCAACACATATATGAGCATTGTGAAACAATGTGGAGACAAACATACTTAATGATAGGAGAATGAAGTTTAGCAACCATATATGTAGATAGCTAAACAACATACATGATTAGAATGTCTTTACTTTGGAACCTACAGGGTCTTAAAAATGAAAACAGACCAAAATATGGAGGTGAACTAGAGAGTAAAGTTTAGAATATAATAAAAATAATTTTAAAAAAAAGAGAACATGACAGGAGCTGCATACAAAAGCAAAAGAAAGGATAACTTGGCATTAGTTTGTCAAGGACCTATGCTCCATTGGGGGATAAAGGCCAGGAGAAGTAGAAGAAACATCATGCACAGTGTTGACAGATATTACATTCATGAAACTGACAGTAATGTTTAGGAAAGTTAGACACTTGTATATTTAAATCTAAATATATGTCTGTTATATAATGCCATTTATATATGAAAATGATAAACATATCTAAGGTTATTGAAATAAAATACACCAATCAATCTAAGGCATGATATCCATTTATAGAGATTACTAAATTACATCTCTAAGAAACCAGATATTTATTTTTCAAGATCTAAAATAGTCATATTGTTGAAGTTACAACAAAAACATAACAATTTGACTTCACAGTGGAGAGTATTTTTTAACTGTCTGTTGGTTTTGGAAAGGAGAAGTGTCAAAATTCCTTTACGTCACACTGTTTATAATAAACTGTTACTTTACCATCTCTGATTGTTCTCTTATATTTTTAATGATTTCAGTGCAGCAAATTATCTGTAATAACTGAAAGGGGTTATAAGGTGGGAGAGTTAGCTTCTTTACACTGGATTTTTACCCTTTTTGGCTCAGTCTCTCTCTGCAGGACAGCTGTTTTGCTGCCAAGAGCATCACATAAAACAAGAGTAGTAACTGTTATGATTCAGTAATAAAAAGATGTGTTCAAGTGGGGCATGAAGGATGCAGGTATTGAGGGGGGTTTATCGGAACAGTATGCCATGGACCATGTTGCATGGAGAGGGAAGAATCAGGAAGGAATTAGGGATATTTAAGAAAATAATTGAAGATACAGAGCTGAGCAACTAAGAAGAAGAACATTTAATACATGGGAAGGCAATAATGGTCCTGAAATCCCATGTTCCAATTGTGGAAGTCTTTTCTTAATGCGAGCAAGACTTGCTAGTCACACTCGCCGTGGGCTGTAATTTCCAGGCCTTACGGTGGCACGATGTAACACCCCTTCTCTAGTCCTGATCTGCCGTTTAGCATCAGGTTTTGAAGAGGCATTGGGAGCAAGCCTTGGTATGAGCTATGTGGATGCTGGTATTTACAGACTCAGATATTCCATCTATCCATCGATTGCATGTTCGACCTCTGGCTATGCTTCCATTATGAGTGGCAGAACTCTTGTTTGTGCACTATCTGATGGTAGTCTTGATACATATCCAAATCGTTTGATTTGTTATCTCATGTTGTAGTTTAGTGCTGGAATGATGTAACACTATCATCTGGTGCCAATGGTATGGTTCAGAACTGCACAAGCAGACTGGCTGGGATTAGGCCTAAGCTGGTCTTGCTGCCTCAACAGGTTTCAGTTATTTTAAGAGGCCCAGTTCCCAGAAAACACAGAAAGAGTTTAAATAATAACGCTATGTGACAAGAAAGGAAACTAACAGTTCAGATACAGTGGGTTTATATTGGTAATTGTTTGTAAGCGAAAGAAGTCAGGAGAATAACTATTATTTTTTTAAGTAACCAGCAGACTTGTCTTTAACGATGGTGATGATTCTTTGCTTCCACTGTGGACCTTGGTAAAAATAAGAGAGATAGAGAGTGAGTTTCCATAACTGTATATGTGTGCAGTGCTCAAGTACTACTGGAGCCTTCAGGATAAACAAAAAATAGTAACGCTGCACCCTACCATGCATGTCATAAGAGGCAACTACAGTTAAGATTGGGTTTGGCTTTCCTCATTATGTAAAAAAGTATAGCCACAGAACCAACAGACTATGAACAAGTCAAATACAGAAACAAATAATAAACAATCAGCCAAGGTTCTAGGAGAATAATGAAACAGGCTTTGTGCTGTAAGAGAGAGAACTGTATCCCTGGCTTTAAATGGAATCCACACAGGGCACAAGATGACTTCCAGTAGCTGTAGGGTTTCGCAGTACAGCGGCGGTGTTAAATGGTTGAACAGAATATCTGGGGTTTACTTCCATTAGATTGACATCCATACAGTGGCTCTCTGAATCACTTAGTGTCAAAATGGCAGGTAAAACAGAGAGACAACACAGAGAAAAGAATCAGAGAATGACTTGGAAGGGGGGAAAAAAGGTAAGGGAGGACATAGGGTGAGCTGGAAGCAATGGCAAAGGATAGGCTGACTTGGCACAAGTTTGTTGAGCGCCTATATCTACTAGATAACAGACAAGAAGAAAAGGTGTGCATATATGGATGATTATTTTATATTAAGGTGTGTTTTGAAACATTATCATGTCTTTATTTTAAGCTTTTTTTTGTGTGTCGTTGCTGCAGACAGTTATTTTGATTAAATTTCATTTGTGCGTCCCAATGTGAGATGCAGTTGTTGTTTTAAAGCCCCACCCTGGCTGTTGCCGGGGGCCCTAATATAACCCAACCTGTGGGTTGAACATGGTTTCTGGACCTGTCCCTGAGTGATCCTCATCCAAATGGTGACACTTTGTGTCACCAGGTGTTTATCACTTTTGTGATATCCTGGTGGGGTTGAACATCATCATCATTTCAGTAAGCTAGCCACATTTGCTGGTCAGTTGTTGTCTATAATTTTCATGTTACAAGATTTATCAAAACAGGTGATGGTTTCAGGAACAGCCTTTCTACTAAGCTGATCAGGGTTCAGGTGTTTATTATTGTAGCATTGTTCATGATGCATGTAAAAGTCATAATATTATGTGTAGTCAATACTGCCAAAATGATGACATCATATTCTTCTTTGTTGTTTTTTCATCTTATTCTTCCTTTTATTCTCCCTAAAGCATAGACCTTTAACCAAATTTCCAAACTCTCCTTTGTTTTGCTGTCTCCAACTCTCCTATATTTTGCTGTCTCCAGCTCTGATATATTTTGCAGTCTCCAATTCTCCTATATTTTGCCATCTCCAACTCTCCTATATTTTGCTATCTCCAACCCTCTTATGTTTTGCTATCTCCAGCTCTGATATATTTTACTGTCTCCAACTCTCTTTTATTCTGCTATCTCCAACTCTCCTATATTTTGCAGTCTCCAACTCTCCTATATTTTGCAGTCTCCAACTCTCCTATATTTTGCAGTCTCCAACTCTCCTATATTTTGCAGTCTCAAACTCTCCTATATTTTGCTATCTCCAACTCTCCTATATTTTGCAGTCTCCAACTCTCATATATTTTGCTATCTCCAACTCTCCTATATTTTTCTATCTCCAGCTCTGGTATATTTTGCTGTCTCCAACTCTCCTATATTTTGTAATCTCCAACTCTTCTAAATTTTACTATCTCCAACTCTCCTATATTTTGCTATCTCCAGCTCCCCTTTATTTTGCGATTTCCTCCTACTCCTTCCACATTGGTATGTCCGTAATCTAATTCTCTTCACCTGTTGTTTAAGTTTTATCTCCTCCATTTGTTTGCCCTGTGAGTTCCAGAGAAAAGCTTTCTAGTTACACAGTTATAGGGCCTTTTTTTCTGGTGGTACACAGTACCGACACCTTTTTTTAAAGACAAAAATAATTTTATTCACCCCCAACAGTAATAGATAATTTGTAGTGAGTACTGGCGCCCTTTTGTTCTAGAAAAAAGTCCCTGCGCAGTTAACAGGTTTTCTCTATAAGTGTCCTGTCCAAGTCCAGGGCAGCATCTTTTCCTCACCTTTGATATGTGGTTTGTTTAGTTGAACTCGTTCAGTGCCAAGCAGTTGTTACTGTAACCTTTTCAATCCCAAGGATTTGAGCTTACAAGTTATAAATTCTACGGTCTGAAGGAGTTCAGTAGAAACACCATGGGACTGAAGTAGTTGAAATAATAATTCACATAGAGAGGGTTCATGTAGTATCTGTCTGGAATAGATGAGAAGAAGGACATGGTATTACCTATATAAAACACCAGGAAATGTATGGTGAGGCTTGGTATATTGAAAAAGTTTAGCTCTGGATTAGTGACTCTTTCATACTATTTTAATTCTTCTGTTTTGCTCAGGCATCATTTAATGAGTGTTCAGGGTTTCATTTTTGTTGTGTGAGCCTTAGGTTATAAAGCTTATAAATGTGAATTAACTGTTAAAGTATATGAGTTGCTTCCATGGTATATGTACATTTGTCTCTTCTTGTTTTTTCCCACATAGTGGTAGCTTAAAGGAGGAACATGTCAATTTTTTCTTTTCAAAATTTACATTAGGGAATACAGAGGCATGGAAGATCAGTTCAATGATGGGATAGATCGGTTTGAGAAAATGCAGATTGAAGAAATAATTCTAGGTGGTCTAACTCTGTGACCTGAAAGAATGTCCTAGTTGTTCCTCCAGATTACTAAGGACAAAGCTCAGTAGATGGACATGAAAAGTTACGCCATCTTGCAAGGCAAGCATATATGTGTGTGTGTGTGTACACATACATACATACTTGGGTGCCTCATAAGTTTCCATAATAAAGTAAGCAAAGTAAAGGACCTTTGTCTATGCCTTATGGCATATAGGGCTAGACCTTTATTTTATACTCACTGGGTGATGTGGTCACCATCATGCCGGCCATTGTTACTTCTCGGGATTTTACCTGGTACCTGTTTAAGGCTGGGTGAAGACTCAAAGCCACGACTTTAGGATCTGCAGGTGAGTGTTTTGCCGCTTCACCATGCCAGTTCCTCATAAGTGTCCACTTATAATAAATGTTCTACCTCAGTATTTGCTTTAAGTGAAAGGTCACCTCACAGGACACCGCTGACCTATTCAAGCATCCGGAAACTGCTGACCTAACTATTGACAGATGTTTATATGTATACATGTTTTGTCTGAGGAATTATCTGCATATCTAAAATTCAGTAGTAACAAGAAAATATTTGTTGTGCATCAATCAACTGTATTTTTGAATTTGTGTGTTCAAATGTAATTGTGTATTATTTGTTTTGATCTGCATACTTTTTTTTTTAATTCTTTCACTAGTTGTTTAAATCCTTTATTGATTCTGTGGCAGTCCTATGTATCCCTTATAATTGTTCTGTGTCACCTATGTGTAGCCATTTTAGTTTTTGTGTGTGATGGCCTGTGTGTTTGTTTTGGCACTGTGCATCTGTCTGGATTGTTTATCTCTGTTTCTCTGCTGATTTTATGTATCCATGTTGCCTCTGTATCTCTGTTGGTTTTGGCTATCCATGTTGCCTCTGAATCTCTGTTGGTTTTGGGTATCCATGTTGCCTCTGAATCTCTGTTGGTTTTGGGTATCCATGTTGCCTCTGAATCTCTGTTGGTTTTGTGTATCCATGTTGCCTCTGTATCTCTTTCGGTTTTATGTATCTATGTTGATTCTGTATATTCATGTTGACTGTGCCCTTTTGACTAATGTCTTCTTTGACTATTCACCAGTGTCTCGCTTATTGATAGTGTATATCCATGTTTCCTCTGTACACCCATGTTAAATTGGTGTAACCATAATCACTGAATATTCCTGTGCTCATTGTTTCTACATGTCTCAGTGTATCTGTGTTGACTTTGTGTATCCATGTTGACTCATTGTGTTTGTATTAACTGCCCATATGTGTGTTTCCTTTGGATATCTGTATTCTCTTGAAGACGTCTTGAAAGAAACTGGCAACTGACTGCCCACATCAGATAAAGAATCTAATTTCTGTGGTCATGTGATGAGAATGAGAATACGGGAGAACATCGTGACGGTAGGAAAGCTCGAGGGAAAGAGAGGTAGAGGGAGTCTGAAATAACAGATGCTGGACAGTTTGACTTCATGGCGTGGAAGATCATCTGTGTCAGAGTTGATTGAAAGTACATGAGGCAGAAGGTTTTGGATAGACATGACTACCAGTGCCACACAGCATGGACTCTTAAGAAGAAGATTATCTTTGTGTATCCATATTGACTTAGTATATCTGTACAGGCTTTGTGTATCTATATTGTGCAGCTGTGTTGACTGTAGTGTTGAATGATATCACCGTCAGGCAATTAAACTATCTTCCAGAGACCTATAGCAAGGTTAGTTGTATCCTTTACAGGACGTTGCAGAACCAACCCCAACAGCCCCTGACTATTTTGTGGTTTTTCTAGGCAAATTTACGTCCAGTAGTTTGCCATTGCTTCTGGACGGTCGGCTTTCTTGATACCACTGTCGAAACCAACGCAAGGCGCATGGCCCGCAGTTGGGATCAAACCTGGCATTACGAAGCGTTCTCATCGACTTAGCCACAGAGCCGACAGTGACCAATACATTAATCAAAAATCGGATTGTGGCTTTTTGTTTTCCACCTTCTGTTCTAAACTCCCAAACATCTGTTACTGGACTGTCTGAGTCTATATCTATCTAATATTAACAGTCATCACCATAAAAGATGCAATTTTGCGTTTTTTGAAACCCCACCCTGGCTTCTGCTGGGGGCCCTGAATATAGCCGGGGCATAGATATAGCCTAACGGCTGAAAGGGGTTTCTGGGACCTCTCCACGGGTGATCCTCATCCCCATGGTGGCACTTTGTGTCACCGGGTGTTTATCGTTTGTGTGATGTCCTGGTAGGGTAAAAAAAAAGAGAGAGAGAGCATGTATCTGGTAAAATAACTCAGGTTAGCTGCTTACCGACACGACTGGAGACTACACCAGGCTGATGTGGCTATACGTGTGCCCCAATTATAACTACTTTTGGGGTTTATAAACGGATCAGCATCATGACGCAAGGGTAGTAACCCTGAGACCACTCAGCCCCCGCTTTTGGGGTTGAATTGGGTATCTTGGATTGCTATTTTGGTCTACCATCTGGATTGGGATTTAGTTATCTTAGGGTGTCAAACCTTTATTAAGCATGGAGGGGAGAGATGATGCGCACACATATAGAAATAACTGTATGACAGGAGTTACACACACAACATAACTATGACAGGAGTTGCAATAACTTGAATAGACATGGTTATTGTGACGATTTTTTCTTAAGAGAATTTATTTTTCTCTGTTCTCCGTGCCAGCGGTTTTCTGATTCCTGCATCACAGATGCAGACATAATCCATGGTTCTGGTAATGTGTGAGATGGCGAAACATGACAGCCTGTGCTTAGTGGCAAGGGGCACGTGACAGATGCAGACATAATCCATGGTTCTGGTAATGTGTGATATGGCGAAACGTGACAGCCTGTGCTTAGTGACAAGGGGCAGTCCGGTTTAGCCAACTACGCTAGAGAGCCGGGCATCGTGATTCTCTAGAAACATGTCTTCCACAACTTCGTGCTCCTCGAGAACCTTTGCACTCGTCTCTCATCTCATGCCACATGGAGCCTTTTGCCCACGTCTCTGTTACCATCATCATCCTGTTTCTTACGACTGGCGTAGGCGATCACGTCTCTGACCAGCCCAGTGAATTTAGCACGCAACAAGTAGACAAGTGACTAAGAGAAAAGCAATTTAATTGCACAAAACAGACACAAACAATAGATTGCACAATTTATTGCCTGGCATATTTTGTTGTAACTTGTCAGGTGCATACTACAGTAACAATTAAATAAATGAAGCGAAGTGGATCCTTTATAAATGAAGTACAAATTCAACAACAGTTAAAAACAACTGCCTGTATTACCAGGTCAACCGCAATGTCAGAATTATTCTTTCTGTTTACACAGTTAAGGACGTAGGTAACGAATCGTGGCGGCTTCAAGAAATCTTAGTGTTCTGCCACTGGACGACGTGTGAAGGATTTGAAATGCGATGTCCTTGGTTACGGTGTGTCCAGAATTAAAAAGATAGCGCTCTTTTAATTTAACTGGGGGGTTTTTTTAAACACTTTTAATGAAGTTAACAATTTATTGTTGAATAATGGCTCCATTGAAATTTACATCATCAAGCAAGGATTAATTTGCATGGATAATTTCTTTGCTATCCTAATTTTTTGCACATTTTGGGCACTTACTTTATAAAATGAAGATGGGTGTATGTGCATGCGCGCGCGTGTGTATGTGTGTAGTTTTTTCCTAGACAGAAACGGTGCCGGTCCTTGCCACATCGTCATCTGACGAAAAGTATCCCTTTAAAAGCAGAACAATCCCTATATAACAAAACCATATATATATATATATATATATATATATATATATATATATATATATATATATATATATATATATATGTATATATATATATATATATATATGTATATATATATATATATATATGTATATATATATATATATATATATATATATATATATATATATATATAATAACAAACTGGCTAATTGTTTGTTTGTCTGTCTACATAAGTGCCTGCCTCACTTATCTTACATAGAGTGAGGCCAGAAGAGTAGAATGTTAGACGGGTCGGCACGGCTTGCTGTGGTTTATAGCTCCGGGATTTCGGGGGAAATGGTAATAGACCCTCTGCTCATTACCAGACATATCGTAAAAGTCAATTAATTAGGAGTTTCCTGATATCTTACATGTTGGGCTGAAAGGTGCTGACATCTCACCCTAGGGTTAAACCACAACACAGTGTTCCAACCGTCCTTTTAGAAGAGGACACAGAAGAAGAAAAAAGAAAAAGAAAAAAGATATGTAGTCGCATGAAAGTTGCAGCACTAAGGACTGTAGTAACATAGTTCAATGCGGACGTTGTCAATAGTCCCGTCAGGATGAAACGGATTCTCATAGGAATCTCCGTGGGAATTGTCCGTGTCAAAGACCATATTTCCGGATGAGGTTTTCATCCCGCAAACTTCCTGACATGTACCGTTGTATCTGTAGAGATAGAAGGGTTTAAATGTAGGCAGATATATAGGGTGACTTGCAGGTCCATCAGCCCTGCAACAGTAGTAGATGCGAGTGGAGTTGGCTCTGTAATCCCCACGTGGCAGGGCTCCAGCGCTACTTGATGTGGAATTAGTCACTTCATCCTGCCAGCTTATGTAACCGGAGCTCAATCCACTAGGGCACCCGTTGGCGGCTTGGTTAATGCAATAAGACCCACGCGGCCAGGCAGGTCCCCGAGAACGTCCGCTGGAGACGCAAAAATGTTGGTACATGAAGTTATTCCTGTCGACTGTTTCCATTGACGGCGATTGCAGGTAGGACGGCGTTGAGATGCTGTCAAAGTTGCGGTCTGTGGACTCCGTGTGTAACTTCCTGTATCCGGTTGCCCACAAAGCCCCAACATTTTCTGGGCACCCAGAGTTGGGTGTTAGCAGTGCATAGGATCCTTCAGGCCAGTACTGAAACACCCCTGTGTCTTTTAAGCGGGCTACCTTTTGGGAAAGCATGGTTACCTTTTGAAGAAGAGCGTCTTTGAACACGTTGCTTTGATTGCGTTCCAGTTGTTCAATATCCGCCACGGTTGCGTTGATATCAGCGTGTACTGCGGCTACCAAACTATCGCAGTAGTCTCTCCGAGCGCTTATTTTCTGCTGAATGTCCCCTCTTTGCTTTTTCCAAAGGTTAATAGTTTCTTGGACTGATGGCTTGATTTCTTGAAGAACTTTAACTGGCGTTTTTTCAAATAGTACGTCAAAATTTGCTTTATAGCCAAAGATATCGCAACGGTAAGTGCCAAGAACATCAGAGGTCGCTAACGACCAAGAAAGTGTTATAAAAGTAGAAGCCACGTTACTAATGTTTCCATGAACTTTAACCGACGAACTTAGAGAACTACTGATGTCCACACCGTGATCAACCTTCCTGACCTCAGTCACTATTTGGTAATCATGCGTAGCTGTTTCTTTCAATATCCTTAACCGGTCAATGGTATCATATTCGGAAGCACTAACAGACCCCTTGAACTCACACTGGATAGTGACGTTTTCTGTTATCCCGATCAGCACCTGAGAAGGGTTGATGGAGAGTACAAAATCTCCCCGTGCATGCTTCAGTAAACACAGAGCGACCAGCAAAGAATGGCACACACGGAACATGACTGCTGTACGTGGAAGGCAACCTATGGACATAAATATATCTGTAGACCTGAAGGCTGCAAAGTGGTAGCTGACAGAAAAGAAACATATTGATCTGAGCAGGATTGTCTACTGATTTAAGTAAGAACTGACATCAGAACATATCGGAAATACCCATGGATGCTTCGACTCCTGCAACAAATGTCTAAGGTGTAGATGCTAACTTTCTTCTTCTTCCTCATGTTCATCGGCTACTAACTCCAGTGGGAAGTTCTGGTTGTTTGTGCACTTCTGGACTTTAGTCTTGTTCCAGAACTTGAGTTTGCGTTTATATTCGTTTTACAGATCTGACTTATTTGTATGCAGACTGTCGATTCCTTGCCACCCCCACCCACAGATGCACTTTGAAGTAAATACCCCTAATTATGTCGACGACTAAGTAATACCAGGGTGCCGGGTTCGATCCCAGCTGCGGACGGTTGGTCTTGCGTTGGTTTCGACTGTGGTACAGAGAGCTGACTTAACGTAAAAGGATAGGTAAGTAACTTTTTAAACCCCTAATAAGTCGCTTTCTACTACATGCTTGTTGAGAAGGCAGCGGATCTACAAAGTCCTACAATAAAGTAATGACACCAATTCCATTAAAAATTTAAATAATCAACAGTTGAAGATATAACCTGTATTTTATTCAAAGTAAGCCCCTTGTGTATTGATACAGCGAGTGGCATGATCTAACAAACACTGGAACGACCTGTGAAGTTCTTCTGTTGCTATGGCCCTTTAAGTCGATGTTACGGCCCTTTGGATGTCATCAATATCGTCAAAGAAGCATCCTTTTAAAGGTAACTTTAATTTTGGAAATAGAAAAAAATCAAAGGGAGACAAATCTGGGGAATAGGGTGGATGGTTGAGAACACACATCTGTTTTGAGGACCAAAAATTCCTGTCTTGATGTCTCTTGTGTACTCAACCTACTGATGTTTTTGAGCATCAGACAACGAATGCAGTACAAACCTGCAAGCAACATTTTTCTTGCCAAAATCTTGCACTAACATTTTACGAATGGTCTCTCTATTAACACCAGATTCAACTGCCATCATCCTGACAGTAAAAAAAACGATCTTCTTTTTAATGTAGCTTCAAATCCTTACGTCCTTTTCAGGACGTAATTTTTTGTTATTTGAAGCCCCACTCTGGCTTTTGCCAGGGGCCGCAATATAGGCAGGCCATAAAAATGGCCAAATGTCTGAACGCGGTTTCTGGGACCTCTCCACGGTTATCCTCATCCACATGGTGGCACTTTGTGTCATCGGGTGTTTATCGCTTGTGTGATGTCCTAGTGGGGTAGAAAGTCACTCACACTCACTCACGATCTTCTTGTATCCGTTCTCTGACTTTTGCAATGAGTCCATCATTACAAACACAAATAGGGCGACCCGCTCTAGTTGCATTAGTGATCAAGTCCACACCACTTTTAAATTGTGAATACCAGCTAAAAATCTGTGCACCAGATAAACAATTATCCCCATAAACTTGTCGCATCAATTAAACTGTCTCAATCCCGCTTTTTCCAAGTTTTAAACATAATTTAATGTTAGGTTTTTGCTCCATGCTGATTTCGTGACAATGCACATATAACTAGGTCAAAAAAATGGCGGCTTGTTTGTCGTCTGCTTATCAGGCGGCGATGCAAAGTTGCCAGATCATAGATGAAGGTTGCCTCTTTGGATTCCATGCTTTGCTTCATAGACTGCACTTTCTTCTTGGTCGTAATAAAATCCGTCTCATTACTTAATTGACGGACCTTTTATTCTTGTTTTCCCCATACTGGGCCCCAACCCATACGAGGAAGATGCTGACTGTTTCGGTTAGCACACTAGTTGTTACACATCTCGTAACCAGTCTCTTTGTTGCGGAGTCTCTCTCTCTCATCCTCTCTCTCTCTCTCTCTCTCTCTCTCTCTCTCTCTCTCTCTCTCTCTCTCACACACACACACACACACACCTTAAATTCCAGATTTACTCAACTTTAGACGTGTTGTTTCATCTTACCTGATATTTGCCATCAGCATTCGTTCATTGTCTTCAAATGCCTGCATTGTCCATTATAAGTGTTCCTAGTGCAGACCCTTTTGTAACCAGACCACCCGCTCTTGCATTACCTCTCACTATTGCATAGCCCGGACAGTGACTCTCTGTAGTGTTGACTTGTTGATGTTTGGGATCCACGTACACCGCAAATATCCACTTTGAACCGTCCGCAAATGCCGATCAAGAATCAGACTCTGCTTCCTCTGCTGTAACGATTTTCAGCAATCTACTTCAGAGCTGCAGCGATTGCCTCCACATGCATCCTCGTGTTAAAAGTAAACGACCCTTTTCCACGCCTTTCATGCGCATTGGTTATATAGAGCTAGACCTATATTTTATGAACCAACGGCACAAGATAGGTGATGTGGTCAGCATCAAGCCGACCGCCTTTACTTCCCAGGACTGCACCCGGTACCCACTCAAGGCTGGGTCGACCTGGAAGCTAAGGTAATTTTTGAAAAAGTCCGGCTCCGCCAGGGAGCGAACCCATGACCTTCCGATCCGCAGGCCAGCGTCTAGCCGCTACGCCATGGCGACTCTCTTCGTGTTTAAAGTTATAGAAAAAAAAAGCGCCATTTGCCTAATCTGCGCTGATCCTCTGACCATAGGTCGAAAGAACGTAGCGTTAAACAATGAAAAATTGCAACTTACATAGGTTCCTTGTCTGTATCAACTGGAGGCTTCAACTAAACTGATCTTCGCTGAGAGACTGTGCTTGTGGGACACTTATATTTGTTTGTTAATTAATCATTTGTACTTGACTGTACTCTGGTACTCAATGCATCATTCATGTTTTCTGTCCCATTGGTTCACGATAATACTTGAAACTTCTTCGAGTACTCAAGGACTATGTGGTTCACACACTTGAGTGTAGATGTCGTATGTGTGCTGAATAACATTTCTTTAGATGTTGAGCAGAGTAATGTAGTAGTAGTAGTAGTAGTAGTAGTAGTATTAGTAGTAGTAGTAGTAGTCGTCGTAGTAGTAGTAGTAGTAGTAGTAGTAGTAGTAGTAGTAGTAGTAGTAGTAGTAGTACATTTTACCCCACTAGGACATCACACAAGCGATAAACACCCGATGACACAAAGTGCCACCATGTGGATGAGGATCACCCGTGGAGAGGTCCCGGAAACCGCCTTCAGCCATTAGGGCATATTTATGGCCGGGCTATACTGCGGCCCCTGGCGAAAGCCAGGGTGGGGCTTCAAATAACCAAAAAATTGCCTCCCACAAAAGGATGACTAGCATATATATGTTATCAGCGTAATTTGGAATTTGCACTATGATGTACCATCTAGAATATTCTCTTAAAGTCACAGGATTGGTCAAATTATTGGGTAGTACCTCAGAAGAGAAAAATAGACGGTGTTAGAGTTAACGCCAGTATTAGCTAAAACTCCTCAACTAAACTAATTATAGATACAAAATAACTGCAGCTCTCCGGTGGCTAGAGAACAAGATGCATACACATGTCGTAATTGTAACAGACTTTGAAAGCACGCTGAAAAAGGTGAAGACAGGGATGCTTCGAGCAGAGTGGCTAGCTTCACTGGAAAGGTCACTGGTGGTGAGCAACCTTTGGATTTTTTCAATGCCGGCGTGGTGGGTAATGAACAGGCAGACAGATTGGCTGGATCCGCACCACTTGATGGTGAACTGATACACGACAAGGCATATGTGGTCAAAGCCCTTTGGGAATAAGCAACGGAATCATTAAAGAAAGAATATTATGCCCTGGAGATAATGAGGCACCTACGTATAACCAGAGGGTCTGGTCGGCTCACTTCACTCAGAGGAAAGACCAGACGGACTTTTAATCAGATTGTGACCGGTACCATCAGTATTGGAACTCTGAGCTGACTGCTGAAGATGAGGGCGGAGCATGCATGGGAATGCCATCAGTGCTGTGATGTCAATTCTTGACTCAACTAAACTCAACTCAACAGATACCAGATCTCTGTGTGGGTTCCAGGTCCTATGATGGGGCGAGGGGGGGGGGGAGGAGGGGAGACTTACGGATCCCTAAAAAGCATGTTTTAATACGTGACTAATTAAGGGTGCTTCCACCGAAGTCAGAGTGCAGCGTCGATGAACCAACAGTCTGCATACAAATAGAGGTGGTACCCCATTCGTACGACTTGGAATCGAGTCCGACTAAATTCGCGTAATCTACGACTCGTGACTCGACTTGGGAGTTTTGTCTCGCGTTTTTGACTCGCGACTTGACTTACACTCGTAGCTTTGGCGACTTGGTAGGACTCGTTCTTCACCGCCGTCCTCTGTGAGGTTTTTGCAATCAACGTCACATTGTAAAACGTCTCCACAGAAAACGGGACATAATAATTTCAGTTTCGATTTATCAAGCTTTCACATTCGACTTCTTCCGCTTTTATTTACTGTTAGTGGGTGTTTCGCACTGCCATTTCTGATTTCGTATTTTCACCCTATTTGATTTACCCACAAGCATTGCCCCATGTACGACTTGCAAATGACTTGAAATATGAAGCATCTTGCCTTGGGACTTGACTTATAAGCTATAAGCATTCTTTTTGTCTGGAGACTTGACTATGGACTAGGTGGCAATGACTCTGGACTCGACTTAGACTTGAATATTAGCGACTTAGTCTTCAACCTGTGCACACACACAAAAAACATGTCTGTAGAACGAATGTGCACGCAAAACTCAAGTCCTGGAACAGGACCGAATTCCAAAAACAAACAACCAGAAATGTTTGCCGAAGTTTACAACAGCTGAACGTTGAGAAGGAAAAGAAGATACCGAATGAATAATATTTTTTTTTTATGGTGTCATCTTTACAATGGAGTTGGCTGCAACGTGTCCGCTGCTTTTTATCTAAATATTGTCTGATGAGTCCCCAGAAATATATAACAGACCAGCTTTATATATATATATATATATATATATATATA